TGGACGGAGCTCATGTCCTGTTCCCCTCTCAGCCTTTATTATAAACCTTTAAGGCATTATACCACATGGCCACACGCATGAGGAATGAGCTCCGGGCACCACAATCTCTGTTCTGATTCTCGCCTGATTTCCTCACGGTGTTGCCTTTCTGCCTCTCTGATACCTCCATTCCTTCCAGGTTCCCATATTCTCTGGCTCCTGGCCACCTGCCTCAAACGTGCTCTCACATCTAAGACTTGATGACTCATTCTACTTACCTGGGACTGCACATTGACTCTCCTTAAGACCCACAGTGAATTACTGTGACTTGACAGCAAGTCTAGAATGAAGGCATTAGTAAGTGTAGACTAGGTTTCCATAGCTTAACACGTGCAAGTGTACATTGTTCTGGGAATTACCAGAAGAATCACCTAACAGGAGGTAACCCAGGAACCCAGACTGATTTCACTGTAGGGTCCAACCGTCTCACTAGGTGGCTGTGTGCTCACTGTGATGGGGCCAGGCCAGGCCAGTTAGAGGTCTTGAAATTCTCTCTGCCTCAGCTCAGAAGTGACAGTCCTGCGCACAGTCTGGTGAACAAAATGAGTCACATGCCCCCTCCTACCTGCAAGGGGCTGGGAGATGTGGGGAAGTACGTAGATATTTAGTGAGCATCAAATGTCTGCCCACAATTAAGTCCATCTAATGTTGAATATAACGGTCATTCCTTCAGAACTGGAAAAGCCTTTTAAAATTCTGTCAAGCCACAAGGGTCAGATCCCATTGATTGTTCTAGAAAAGCAATCTAATAAAACATGAAAATAACTGGATCAGCAAAGAACCTTGAGTAATAGTACCGTGGGTGTCACCAACTGGCAGTGATCTTGGGACCTTCAAGGGCCACTTTAAACCTAAGTGTTTCTATGTGTGAAATGAAAAGATGAGATTAAACTTTCTCTCTGGTCTAAACGTCTGCGTAGAACCTATGGCCTTTGCATCTGAGCCATATAGAAGTACAAGGTAGCAGAGAGTCCTGGAAGACAAGATTTATCTGTTTCTTTTGACAAATATTTATTAAGTGCCCAGAACTTGTTCTTACTGTGCTGGGGTTGGTGGTGAACAAGACAGAAAATGATTTTACTTTCTGAGAGAGTGCCAGAAAACTATCTTTACTTTTTATTAACATGGTAACCTTCTTGCTTATTAGCATGTACTTTATCACTTTGGTATGACATTTTTATTTTTGTTATGAAATTATTCTCTAAATCGTAGTCACCCTTGGGCACTTTCTAGCTACTTGTATTAGTGTGCTAAGGCTGCTGAAACAAAATACTATGGGCTGAGTGGCTTAAACAAGAGAAATTTATTTTCTCACAGTTTTGGAGGCTAGAAGTCTGAGCTTAAGGGACCGGCCAGGTTGGTTCTTCCTGAGGGCTGAGAGGGAGAATCTGTTCCAGGCCTTCTCCTAGCTTCTGGGGCTTAGCTGGAATCTTTGGTGATGCTTAGTTTGTGGAGGCATCACCTCATCTCTGCCTTCATGTTCCCATGGCATCCTCCCTGTGTGCCTGTCTGTCTCAAAATTTACCCTTTGTATGAGGACACCAGTTGTATTGGATTAGGGCCCACTCTTCTCCAGTACGACTTCATCTGCAACAACCCTATTTCCATATAAGGTCATATCAGGAGGTGGCGGAGGTTAGAACTTCAACCTATGAATTTGGGGGACACAATTCACCCCTAGCAGTGCTGTTGTTAAGTGATTGCAAGGATGAATTTCCCCTTCACTTGTACTTTCTTTCCTGAAGTTGTATTTTTCTTCCTTAAGCTATCATGCTTTTTTTTTTTTGGTACGCGGGCCTCTCACTGCTGTGGCCTCTCCCGTTGCAGAGCACAGGCTCCGGATGCGCAGGCTCAGCGGCCATGGCTCACGGGCCCAGCCGCTCCGCGGCATGTGGGATCTTCCCAGACCGGGGCACGAACCCGTGTCCTCTGCATCGACAGGCGGACTTTCAACCACTGCGCCACCAGGGAAGCCCCATACTTTGTTTTCTTGACCACACACTTTATTGTGATGGTAAGGCAGTTTTGCTTTTTTGCATTTTCTCTCCACGTGTTCTGGGAAAATACCTGGAGCCTTGCACTTTTTCTAGCTCCAGGGGTCTCTGTACAGCAGAAGGCAGAGCTGCCTGAAGCAGCCTCTCCGGGCTCCTTATGCGGATGCTCCACCTGCGGAAGAGATTATTTGGGACATCTAGGCTGGGAAGGAAAGAGAGGAGGTCTTTGTGGGAAGGGAGGCAGGGGTGGGACGATGAAAGCTTTCCCAAGAAGCCCTGAGAACGGCAGAGACTTGGCATCACCCTGCGAGGTGGGGAACATCTCAGCTTCCTGTGTACCTGGAAGAGAAGCTGAGCACAGCCTGCTTGCAAGGGACTGCAGGGCTTGGAGAAGGGACTGCTGGATGGACAGGGTGATGGGCTGAAGAGGACAGGTTACATCCCATATCTCAGCACTGTACAATCCCCCAGATTCCTGTGTACCTCTAGGGAGAGAGAAATAGAACAACAACTGACATTCTGATTACTTGCTACTCTAGAAATGAGGAATTGAATTTAAGTTAATTTTAAAAATTAAAGAAATGTGAATTTTCTATACTTTCAGAATGTGTGATTATGAATTCATACAAACTCCATTGTCTAAAATTGTTCTGTTTTCAGCCACCAGTGTGAATCTTGAGCTTCGCTCAGTTTTCTATGTAAAGGAGGAACTTCACGATGGACTTCCATTTCTCCAGCCTCTGGACCATTTATTTGCTCTGGCCCTGATTCCCTGGCCTGTAACCATCTAGCACAGAATCTTGCCCTTAGTAGGTAATCAAAAAGGGGCTTGTACAGAGAGGGAATGATGAGTCACATTGCCCACAGGCACAAACGCTTAGCAACAAAGGGTATTTTTTAAAGTGATCTTGACCTGACAAACCTCTGGGTGAGATGGCTGAGAGCCCTGACCTGTGCAGAGGGTCAGTCGGACAGAAAACCAACCAGTGATGGGTGGACGTGAACTTGAGAGACATTGGAAAGAACCAGGAAGGTTGCTCAGTGGCACAGCTCAGAGCAGATGACTCTAGTCTTTATTTATTGAGCACTTACTATGCTCAAGGCCCTCTGGGAAATTCCATACAAAATTACTTCATTGCTGTTCTACAGAATCTCACGACCTAATAAAATCAGGCAGTAAATATCCAAAGCATGAAGTCTAAGAGATGCCATGATCAGCATATTATACAACTTCAGACTCCTGGAGGTGGGGAAAGCAGTGATGGATTGGGAAGACTTCACAGAGAAAAACGACATTTGAGATGCAGTGTATGGCCTGCTGCAAACTGTATTGTCAATGATGGTGTCCTTTTTCCCCATCTTCCCAACAAAAATTATGTTAACAAAGACAAACAAACAAACATGGGAATGAAGTCTCACACACACACACACACACACACACACACACACACATCACTGCTTAAGGACTCAGTGACTCAGTTGGGTAAGCAGTTGGCTTTGCACCTCAGCCCTCTTCCTGCCAGCCCTCCCCCCATCCCCATTCCCATGCCCCTGCTAACCATACAAACATCTGCATCTCAGTATGGGCCCATTCATCCTCCTTCCTGCTATTTGCTGTCATCCTTTCATTCATTTAATCATTCATTCATAAGCAGTATTGCACCAGTACATTCCTGGTACCACAACCAGTGTATAGAAGCGGTGAATCTATTTTCTGTGAAGCTCAGGCCTTTATGCAGAATCATTTACATCTTCTGGTGAGAGGCTGGAGTAACCAAGTGTTGTTAGAATTCTTCCCATTGTGCCTTTTCCTTGAAAGATGACATTTGTACAAAGACATCAGAAGTGCTCATTCATATTTGGGGAGGAAAAATATTTACTGGAATAACTTCTCAATGTAGATGAGAAGATTTATTATGATTATGATTTTTAAAAAGACGCTTATGTAGTAGAGGAAGACAAATAATGCAGTGTCAAGATAGTTAAGAATCTTGTAGTTTGGGGAAAAATGAGACAAATAACAGCTAAGGATTATGGAATCCTTACAATTTTCCAGTTATGTTGAGATTGCTTTATGCATATTTGCCTTATTAACCCCTGCCAAGATCTCCATGACCATCTGTATTTTTCAGATAAGAAAATCAAAGCACAGAGAAGTTAAGTAACTTGCTTAAGGTCACTGGGCCCGTAGGTGATGGCATTAGAATTCGTGTTGAAGAAAGCTATGGTGGTGGGTTTTCCCATACTTCTGGAGAAAAGAGTCTGTCTATTGAAGGAGGCATTCTTTCATACGCACCAATAGGTTTTGTTCAGATACGCATGCCTGAGACATATAATTTAGCACTGGTGCAACTTCCAGCTACTAGAGGGAGTGGCAAAGAGAAATCTTACAGGAAAATTCTACCTTCAAAGATCTTTGGCTCTAACAAGCTAGAAACCCTAAGCATAGGAAGTAAACTGCTGTGCCTGGATCTCGGGAATCCCCAGAAGGAAGGACCAGACAAGTTGCCTCCAGTTCTCCGTCCGTCCAAGCAATCAGGTAGTGGGATGCAAAGACATTTCACGTGACACTGGCGCGGAAAGGCCCTCAGCCTTCATCTCAATGTCCCCACACGCCGGGGCATCGAGCCCAGGTTCTGGGAGCCCCGATCTGCTCTGAGGCAGTGCTCTTTGTATCACCCGCGCTAAGAGTGTTTTGGGATCACCCATTTCTCTCCAGTCTTGCTGATCGTTTCTTCCCGGCGCATCGGCATCTGGGGCAGTCTTCTGGCTGCCGCCGGACGACATGCCCTGTGTGCCTCTTGGCGGCGTGAGGTCCGGGTGGTCCTCGGGCACCGGGTTTCCCTGCGGGCCTGCACGGCCCGGGGCGGGGCGCGGCGGGCGGGCGGCAGGGGGCGCTGCGCGCCGGGCGGGGGCGCTCGGGCCGAGCCTGTGCTCCCCGCGTCTTTGTGCCACTCGGCGCCGCCGCCCACTCTCCCCCCGCGGGCCGTGCGCCCCGGCTGGAGGGCGGACGGGAATAAAGGGCAACTCCGGGCGGGGCGGCGGACGCGCAGCGCGGACACCCGGCCCCGGACCGCGGACCTAGGCACGGCGCGCGGAGCCCCGCCCGTGGCCGAGCAGGAGCGGCGGCCCCGGGGCCCCTGCCGCGCGGGACCAGGTGGGTGACGCGCGTCCCCTTTGTGTCGGCCTCGCGGGAGCCGGGCGCGGCCGAGGGGCCCGAGAGAGGTGGCCGTGCCGAGCCGGCCTCGGGCGCCGGGATCGGGCAGGGGCGAGGGCCGGTCCGCGCCCAGGGCGCCACCCTGGCCCTGCCCCTCGGTGGCTCCAATGCCGCGGCCCCTTCGGGACCCCGCCCGCCTCCCCGGTCCGCTGGGTCTGCAGCGCCGCGTCCCCGCGCTCCGGCCGGTCCCGGAGCGGCCCTGGGTTGGGGGCCGCGGGACGGACGACCGCGGTGGACGGGGTCTGGCGAGGGCGAGCCGCCGGGGCGCGGGGCGGGGTGGGGGCGTCGGGAAGGTTCAGCCCGGCCAGAGTGGGCCGGCGCCGCATCCTCCGCGGGGCACATCCCGGCGCCCGAAGCCCGCGGCCGCCAGCCTCGCTCCTCCAAGCCGTCCCCTCCCCAGGGGCGCGCGGAAAGTTCCCTGCGGGTCTCCCCGCCCCACCCTCCGGCGGTGGCTCCCCAGCTTCCCCGTACTGTCCTGGGCACCCAGCTCTGGGCGCTCCTGCGAGCCTGGAGGCTCAGGGTCGCGGGGAGGAACTGGTGCCTCGTGCACCCTTTGATCTCCATAGGCAGACCTCTGGATGGGCACTCCAGAAGTTCTCTCTGCCTGCCCTTTTCCCAGTGAACAATTATAATAATAATAAAAATCTCACTCAACAAGTATCCCATGCTGGCCTTGTGCCAGGCCTAAGGCAGGCGGGGTGAGGGAGCCCCAGGGGAGTATCCCCAGGGGGTCCTGCTGCCCTGCGGGGGGAGGGAGCTGAGCTCTGGTCCCTGAACTAAAAACGGACCTCACATCTTGCTTTGAACTGTTGTGGGAGGAAAGCCTTTTTCTAGGAGCGGGCCTGGGGATCTGATAAGGACACATTCCAGTGAATCTGGCCGGGGGCAGCTGGCAGATATGCTGTGCGGATGGTAAAGTGTGAGAAGGAAAGTGCTGTGTGTGGACACCTGCCTGAAGAGCTGTGAGCTCTGTGAATGCCCAGGAGGTAGAGGCAGGGGGAGGAGGGTCCCAGCTGCTGGGGAGCCTGGTACTGGGTCAGAGCTTGAAGGAGGGGCAGGTTCTAGGTGACAGGAAGGGCCCCAGGCCAGAAGGAACTGCCCAGCGGAGGAAGGGGGAAGGAACACAGAGTGTGACCCTCGAACTTTCCCACAGGCCTGCAGCCCAAGTGTTCCCTTTCCTGGTCCTGAGACTCAGGACCTGGTCTTCTGCAGTTTTCCAGCACCTTTTTAATTTTTGCTTTTATTATTTTTTAGAGAGTGCAAAGGAATTATGCCTAGAGTGGTCAGATGAGGGTAGATCGTGAAATTCTGAATTCCAGGCCTCCTTTGGCCTTGATCCTGTGGCAGTGGGAGCCACTGATGCTTTTGGAGAGTGAGCTGGGCCCAGATTTAGAGTGGTGAAGGCGGGGTTGAAGGATGGGGACCGCACCTTACTGTCCAGTGTGGGGTGTGTCGCCTTTAGTCCCCAGCGTGGGCTCCCACCTGTGCCCTTGCCCCTTACGAAAGGTCAGGCATGGATTCAGAGCCTCAGGAGAAAACAAGGTGCAGATGACCTAATTTTAATGGGAGGGGCCTTTTCCAGATCCAGCACCACTGGGGTTTGGGAGTTTGTTTAAAGAAGCTCTGATTCAAGTGTCAGGACGCTTGGAAGAGGAGCTGATGAAGGGAGAACTCAAGTGCGGGGGGCAGAGCTTCAGCCGGCCGATGATGGTATGGGCGCCCACGGGCCGTGAAGATGGGGGTACTGAAACCTGCAAGAGCACTTACCAATCCCTGTGTTTTAGAAGTGTGTTCCGGTGCCCTTACTTTGATCGAGTGTAATCCCTGCATCCAGGTCTTCACCTGAGTTCAGGGCTTGGCTTGTGGACTCGATGTGGTTTTGGACTTGGAAGGGACTGCCCACAGTTCAGTTGAAGCTGCTGGCGTTTAGCGGGTGAACGTGCCGCTAGGCCAGACGGCGGCAGGGCCAGACGCCGGGAGCCACGTTGCCTGTTTTTTCCACTGTGGTTCATAATTTGTCCCCACTGCCTTCTTTGGTGCACATTTCTCCTTCTTGAGAGCCTTTCTCTCTGGTGTAGAGACAGGGCAAGTCTGTCCCCGCAGACAGAGCATCACGGAGCTCGCTGGTCAGCACAGGTCACCAGGCCAGCCGGCCCACTGTGACGGAGGACATTGTGGACTGGAGGGGGGAGGTCAGGGGCCCCAGCGACACAGAGGACCATGGCTGGCCTGGGCCCGGCATCAGCTCTCCCGACGGCCTGCTGTTCTTTCTCCTGTTCCACCCTAGAACTGGGAGGATGAAGACGTGTCAGCTGCCCTGGGGTCTGGTGGTCTGGAGCCCCCCAGACTCTTCCAGCGCATCTGGCCAATAAGGACCTCCCCTGGATCCCTGGGGTGTGGAAGATGAGAGGCAGCCACGGGGCTGTGAGTAGAATGGAATGCTTCTACGGAAGATGGACCCTCCCCGTATTCCCTTGGGTAGTTTCCTACCTTGGAGACCCGAGAACTAAGTTGAAGGCTCTTTCCTTTAAGACTGGAAAAGTCACGTGAGGCAATCATTTCTGGAACCAGCCTCCTCTCTCCTTTGTTTCTGCATTACTGACACACATGAATACCTTTTCTTAATTAGATGAAGAAATTAAATGGAAGCAACTGTTCACATACCTGCTGGGGATTCGGGCTGAAAGGCAGAGCTTGTACAACTTTCTGACCCAGCTCTGTGACCTTGAGCAAGTGTCTTAACCTCCCTGTGTGGCCCCAGTTCCTTCAACTGTGAAACTAAGGTGTTGGTCTAAATGATTTCCAAGATCCAGATATAAAAATGTGCTGCTTTAAAGGTCTTTTCCAGGAGCATCAATATTGCCAATGCAACCATTTTTAAAGAATTTTGCAAGAAAAAACATTATATATATATTTTTGCTTTCAGAACAATGGCTTTTCTCAAAGATGATAATTTGAGAGATGGGCTTTGAAGAGGGTGGCTCCTTGGTGATGAGAGTCTGGCATCTTCCTTCTTTCCTGGAATCTAAAGCCTGAATCGGATTGCGTTTCCTGAATGGCCTATAGATAGACGCAGAGTAGGGCTTTCACCAAGAAGCAAGTGGACAAGCTGGATGCAGTGTTAGAGAGAAAAAATAAGTTCCTGGATAGCATGAAGAAGCATGTCAACCAACATATTATAGTCTCCTGGAGTTTGGCTCCCTGGAGAGCCAGGGAACAGTGGGTGTTCATTTAGCGTTTTCCATCACCAGGTGCTGATAGGAAGTGCTCTGTATGCTCGGACCCAGTTCTCACTTGGCCCATAGGATAGGCATCTCGACTGTACCCAACCTACCAAGGTGAGAGGGACAAGGAGAAGCTGTGGCGTCCAAGGCCAGGTACGTGGTACATGTTGAAGCTGACATGGAACTCAGAGTCCTGTGGAAAAGGATATCCTCCATGATCTTGAGGAGGCAACGGCCTGGGGGGCGGAAGGTAGACAGTCACAGATTTTTGTAGCACTGGGGTCGGCGTGCACCATGCAGTGGGGCGTGGTGAGCAGCCTGCCCGCTGGAGCCATTGATGCTGGCTAGGCCCCGAAGGATGAGTCCCGGTTACCCAGGCAAATGAGAAGATCAGGGTCAAATTCTGGGGCTGGGAACAGCAAGAAACTGCCTGGGGTGGGAAGGGAACTTCGGGCCGGCACGGCGGGGCTGAGCCCCTGTCCTGTTGGAGGGTGGCCCGGCTATCTCTGAACCCTGTTCAAACCAAGCTCCTGGGTGCAACACCGCTGCTTTCACTTCTGGAATCCCCTGGACCATCCCAGCAGTGCGGGGGACTTCCATTCTTTGGTTTTGGAGCCTCTGTCCTAGAAGTCTTCCCTCCTTTTCCCTTCCTGCCCCCAGTTTCCTTGGTAGAGGAGAGAGGCTTCAGGGAAGATGAGAGGAAGCCCAGCGGCAGCCATGATTTTACAACCCAGCGTCGCCACGCTCTGTCTGCGGGGTCACCTGAGCAAGGCTGCTGTGATTCCCCAGGTGATGGCAGCCGGGCCTGCAGTGGGGAAGCTCCGAGCTGGAAGTGAGCCCCAGCGAAGGATGGCAGTGAGACTGGGGTCACCCCTGCTCCTGCCGGCTCCACCCTGCAGGCAGGAACCCGGGCAGAGCTGGTGGGGCAGGGAGTTCCAGACCCAGCAGATGGAACCCTATGATACGGTTGACCTGGGACATGTTTCGGCCTCCGAAGGGTCAGTTTTCAAACAGTCCTTTGAAACGGCATGTTTGATGTTGAGGTGGCAGCGTTTAAAGGTGGTTTGGAGGGAGGTGGGCTGCGCAGGCTGCATCGAAGGAGGACAGAATGCCTTTCGGACTCCACGGGTAGCCAGGGAGCCGTTCCTTGACCGTCTGTCTCTGCATCTGGGACGTGGTCCCTGGCCAGCGGCAGGTGGTGTGTGCATCCCCTCCCTGCTTGTCCTCTGTAGCCGGCAGGTCTTCAGGCGCTCCCACGTTCCAGAACTGCCCCGCTGGCCACCCCTTGCTGCCCCCTCCGCGCGGAGGCTTGCCCACACACCCTACAGGAAGGGCAGCCCCCTGGGCAGAGAGGCTGCTTTCCCCCGCCCCGCTCATGGGTGGAAAGTGTGCAGACCTCTGCATTAGGGGGCCTCTTTGACCTCAAGGTAGAACAGTCTCTTCAGTAGGTGTTCTGAGGCTAGAATCATGCAGATATTGTTTCACTTTCCCGGGACGACTTTTGCGGTTCCCAGTGGTGTCCGCCTCCAGGCTCACCACTGACCTCTCGTCACTTTCCTGCTGAGACACCGTTGCTTGTTAAGTCACACATGTGTCCCTGGATCGAGCTTCTGAGATTCTTCCCCACTTGGTTCCAGCCCGTCTTTCCAGGCTGATCTGTCCGCAGCTTCCACACGTAGGCCCTGGAACATTCTCCCACCACCTCCACGTGCCAAA